CGCTCCCCAAGGAGCATGCGCTTTGTGGCCGATATGAGCATTCAGATGATCCTTGGCGAATCCACGTCACTGATAGCAGCGGTCGGTTTCATTCAGCTTTACACCTTCATGTACAACCGCAGTGATGCTTCCTCGGCGTCTACCAACTTGGTTTATATCACCCAATTTTTTGTTCTCGTCTCCATTGCTATTGGCATCGATTTCGTTTTTAACTCGTTCTCGTTTTGGCTGCAGATGTCCTATTTAAATATCGCAGTGGTGCGCGTCTGGCGCAAGAAATGGCGGAAACATATGTTCATTGCTTTTGTTTTGACTGCAGTGACACTGTGTTACTTTACCACTCACTTGTTTGCTGTTGTAAAAGACAAGAACACTTCAGGAGTTATAATAGATGATCATAATTGCCAGGGGCCTTTCTCAAAGTTTTAAGTAATATATTTTTTAACTGATGGGTTTTTCATGCTGCAAAAAAAGGATGACAGAAAAATGTTGCTTAATCTCATTTATTGAAAAGCACCACTTAGATTGAATTCTCGAAGTTGATACAGAGGTGCATCCCATAAGTTTGAATCTGTGTGAGAGTGTTAATTTAGTGACTTGAATCACCACCTACCCCTTCCCTAAGTCAACATTAACACTTCTTACTAGCACAAAATTGTGACTTAGGGGAGGGATATGTGGTCACGAGGCATAGGATGTTGTCGTTTACTTTTTCTACCTGATATAACAGGGTAAATAACAATTTTGTTTAAATTGTAAGACGAAAATGGTAAAAAAATACATTCGCTTCATAGAAGAGGGGATGTCTCTCATTTAGAATAGACACCGGAAATGCTGATCCTTTCTTTGTTGATGTTGTCATTTCGGTGCCAATTATGGCGATAGGAAAAGAAACACTGTATAAGCATGGCTTAATTCACGGACTTTGAATTCAGAACCACCTTTTTAAGCTCAGTACACAATATCATCAGAAGGTTTTGCTAATACTGGTAGTCATTAAAAATTTGAGGTGTATTCAACCAAAAAGGGGCATTATGTGAACTCACTGCATTATTTCATTGCATAATCATTGACATGATTTTGTGGGGCGGGCGCATAATAGATCCCATTTCCCGGCTGTAATGTAAGAAAGCCCCCGTGAAAGATATTGTGCGGTGGGGTAGCTAAAGTGGCTTCAAAAACAGAAAAGTTTTACGAGAGACGCTTTTAGGACTGCGCCTTTCACACGCAATAATAAATGCATAAGTGCGCTGAGAAATGCGTTCACGGACACCATCACTCGTAGACTCATATTTGTCGTATCGAGATCTTGCCATGCAATATCATATCCCTTTGCCAGAAAACAAACATTGAACTGTTCCTTTTGGTGATTACATTAGACCTAATCCCTTAATTCAGAAATTAAATTAAAACTGTTTTCCCGTTTTGTGCGAATTGTAGCGTGAACTTATAACCATACCTTTGACAGGTGAAGTGGCAAAGATTTGGAGGGTAATTCGAGCCAGATATAGCCAGTTATGACGCGTAATAATTTACTTTTGCTTTTAATGGAGGTCAACTGAGTAGTGCTCTGATAAAGTGGATAAGTCTTCTCGGTTTGAGAGTGATCATTATCGTGGATAAGGATTGAATTTGGACATGAATCTGGACCGCAACATATTTTCAAGCTCTCGCAGTGGAGAGTCAAGTCTTTGGTTTTTATTTTAAGACGATTTTGAAAACCAAGAGGAAAGTATTAAAGATATAGACGACGAAAGACTTCTTTACGTCGATACTTTTAGCTTTAAGATACTAAACAATTATTGGATGAGGTTTTTGTGATATGCGCAATTATCGAGGCCGGGGTAAGCATTATCAGCCGAGCCGAAGGCCGAGGCTGATAACACTTACCGAGACCTTGATTATTTAGGATATCACAAAAAACCGAATCTAATAATTGTTTTATTATAGATTGTTTTGAAGAAAATAACGACAAACACACCGTCGCAAGGAACCTGAATTGATATTGTCATTGGAAATCATGCATTGCGTGAAATCATGCATCTGCTAGCAGATAACTATCTGGGCTGAGTTGCTCAAAGCATGGTTAGCTTTAACCATTGGTTAAGCAGTATCAAAACCAATACGTTGTCCAGGTATTAAACGCTGGTTAGCGCTAACCATGCTTCGAGCAACTGGGCCCCGATCTGTAGGTTGCGCCGATTTCCAAAATTAGCTGTAGGCTCTTCAGGGGCACCCAACGAGAATATAGTTCAAAACCACTTAAACATAGCATTGTTAAACGTATTAGTATTTAAACGGTAGATATAGGCATATTTTTATCCCCTAAAAGTTTTTCATCTGTTCGGATTTCCTAGCTGAGAGTCTAGTGATCCGAAAATTATAGGGATCAAAACTTACCTTTTCGAAAATTTCAGCCAGAAAAAAGGCTCGCGAAAGTTCTAGGTGGCCTTTTTAGGATAAATATCCGTTAAAAATGGGCAATTATACCATTTTTTAGATGTTCGAAAATCCTAGGAGAGGCAGGCAAGCAAGAAATTTTACAACAAATGTTCTGAAAATTCTAGATCTCAAATCGTCTTCCGAACAGATATTAAGCTGATTTAGCAACAGAACGGGAACGTCAGTTGACGACGGCGCGCGCAAATCAAACAACTGGCTTGACCAATGGCAGAGCGGCAAATTGAGCACCGGAGGTCGTGTTTAGTCCTTTCCGCGCGCTTTCCCGCCGTCAACTGACTTTCCCGTGCTGATGCTAAATCAGCCTATTTTTCGAAAATTGACGTTAGGTGCCCCTAGCTCTAAGGCAATGAGAAGACAGATAGTGAGTATAAAGTATGCTAATTTAAATTAGTGTGCTCAGTCAAGAGGTGTTCAGTACTATTCCGGCAATCCGTGGAATGCTGGTTTTCAAATGTAAATCGAAACCATTCAATAGATAAGCCAGAAAACTCAAATAAAATGGGGTAGTAACATTTTAAAATATCGCTAAGGCTCAAGTCTGCCAAGCAAGTGTATGTGAAGTTTAGGGCGCTTTCGGGAAAGATAGCGCTAGCCGCGAGGGAGAAAGACGTGCGCACGCATCGGCGCTTATCTCGCCCATATATTTCTGATAAGCCTACAACACAAGCTACCAAGGCTGCTTATCATTAGTAGTCAGAACTGCCTGGTTAAACTAGAGTAAATAGAGAGAATCCCACTATTAAACAAGACTCAGTATCCAGCGAGATCAGTCTATTCGCAAATATCAGTCATGCACGGCATTTATGGGTTTATGGCGAAAACTCACGGAGAACTATCCTATTTTTTTTTCACCATAACAGGTCCTGGCCGGTGTGGCCAAGCCGTTCTGACTGTAATAAGCGCCCTAAGACTCTCTCTATGCATTTTTTCATTCCTGAGAAATTACTATAGATGTTTTACCCATGTTTAAAGAGCTTGGTATGGAGACACCATTTCACCATTTGTTTTTTCTGTGCTAGCTCATTTTGTTTCACGGTTTACTATAAGGAGGTCACAAAGAGAAACACAGATAAGACATTAAAATAACTTAAAGATTGATTCAAACTTGGCTTGTGACTCAAAATTGACTAAAGTTCGTTCTACTACGGTCATTCTTTCAGAAGATTCGCGCGTGTTTTACAGGCTCATTCCGGTTACCCGCCTGTTCGTGGCAAGTTCCAAGATCACAGCATATTTTTGGAGCGTAGTTTTCCATTGATCTTAAGTTCGTTTTTTCCCATATGGCTTAATTCAAACTTAGCTTGTGACTCAAAATTGAGTTGGGTTCGAAGTACTATTGTTTTGATCCACAAGAATCACATGTGCTTTACAAGTTCTTTCCTGTTGCTTCTCTAGTATAATTGTAAAGCGTATCTTTCTTACGGTCTTTAGTTTGTTCATTCTCTTACTTGGCAAAAGACTGCCTTAACAGTGAGAACTGATCGATCAAAACCACTGAGTCTAGAAGCTACTGTAAAGCAGGTCTGACTCTTCCTGGTTCTGTTGGCCCAAGCAGATCGCGTCTCGATTCGTACTAACAGCAACTTGTTAAGGTTTGTCAATTTTTTTATTATTAAATAATGGGAGCTGCTCTATCCTTGCTCGAAGACATCGTTCTTTACATGGTGGAGACATTTACCGCTGGTGTTGTTCAGTCCTGTCAAGGACAAGAGCAACAAGACGGTGCATCGTTATTACATGACCAAGATCCCCTGGAAGATTTTAGAAAGTTTAATGGAAACGACGAGATTTTTCAAGAATATGACCCACCTCCTGGGGACAACAGCAAAATGGGATGGAAAAGATCTCGCCCGCCAACATGGCGATTGTCGCTTTGGAAGGCAATGAAGTGCGCATTTTGCATTCAGATTCTTGGCGGCGTTGCGTTGGGGTCACTCGCTATTTCGATACTGATTTTAAATTTGAGAACTTTAGACTTCTGCTTTAATGTACAGAAAACTAACTGGACGGCGGTTTCCAAGAGATATCAGAGAATGATAGTGACAGTTGCTATAATAGAAACCTTCGTGATTCAGCTGTGGTCGCTTCTTCTTATGTTGACAATGTTTGAAAGTAGTTTGATAAAAAAGCTCAATCTAATCACACTGAATCTACTGGGCGCATCATTCGACGCTTGTTACAGGCTCTATTGTCAGATGTACGGCGTTTACAAAAAGTCTTGGGTGCCTTACCCGCTCAACTGCCTCTTTGTTCTTTTGCTAGCGATGAACAGTTTACTAATTGGCAGAGAAATAGCAAAGAACAGCGAAAGAAGCGAAAGAATAAAGAAAACAATCAAGATAATGGCCATGCTGGTAGCTCAGTTTGCTTTTGGAATCCCTATCACTTTTGCTCTCGTGTACGTCCTAATACCTCTGTATGGTGAAGCATCTCAAACCTACAGAGCGATCATAGCCGGGGCTTTGCCCCTAGTAACTGCTATTCCAAAGGTCATTGTACGCTTGGCGGTACAAAGAATCGACTTTCTTCATCCAGGAGATGCGCACGTGCTGTTAAACGTACTCTTCAGCGCTTCCGCCATCGTTTTTCGCGTTATGCAAGTGGACCTGTCTGAAATCAGACTTTTTACTCTTCTCAGCTTCGCGCATGGTGCAATAGACTTGCTGGAAAGGTTGACTGTCGTTATTCGTGATTATGTTTGGTACTTCATTTACAAGAAGTTCAAAAGAGACGAGAGGGAAACAATTTTGAAAGCAAATCAATTTCGCTCGCCAAGGAGCATGCGCGTTGTGGCCGATATGAGCATTCAGATGATCCTGGGCGAATCCACGTCAATGATAGCAGCAGTCGGTTTCTTTCAGATTTACAAGTTTATATACAACGTTCAAAAGGCGTCCGTGATAACCGAATTTTTCACCCGCGTCTCCATTGCTATTAGCATTGACTTTGCTTTTAATTCTTTATCGTTTTGGCTGCAAATGTCCTATATGAATGTTGCCATAGATCGTGTTTGGAAGAACAGATGGTGGAAACACTTGGTCATTGCTTTTATTGTGACAGCCATGACCATGCTTTACTATCCTGATCGCTTATTGCCCATTGTGAGCGCCAAGAGTTCTTCAAATAGCACAATGAGCCATGCGAATTGTTCACAGCTCATCTTAGAGTCTTGACCTATGGAAACTTATTTTATCTCTTTTTATTTAAGTTTTAGCCCAGCAGTTGTTCTCTACAACTATAGAAACCTTAAGTAAGAAACAGATTACTTCAGTTAATTAGTGAATTTCCATCTCCCGGGATGAGAGCGTACTCCTTTTTATAAACTACATCGGTGTGTACTTTGCCAAAGGGCATGGATTTTTAACCGTTTTGGTCTTATATTACGTCTAGATTTTACTGAACCATTTGGGTTTGCAATTGTGTGAGACAGTTTTGTTGGAATATTCCTCTTTTTAGAACAGTAGTTCCAATCTAAAACAGAGTGCGGACCCAAATCAAACCTTGAGCGGCACACCCCAACCGAATGTTCCATGACTACCCCCCTGGGGGGTTTCCATTGATGCAAACGATTCTACAGGATTTTCCAGTGATACGGATGATACTGCCTGTGTGATTTCTCCCAATGCGAGGATTAAAATTTTGTCGCAATTCGTGCCGCTTGTGGATTCGTTGAGCGAGTACTGGAAGTGGACACATTCTTCTTCTTCTTTCAACATCTGATGTATTCACTTATTTCCAAGTTATCAACGCTTTCAAACGACAGAATTCGTGGAACGACCCATTCCGAAAACGCTCGACATCTTTTAGTGTGGGTCTACCACGAATGGTGTGTGGATTTGTAAGCGACATCACCGTATAATCCATTAATCTTTGCAAATTTTTCGTCTCAAAACATAACATTCGGACAATGGTACGTTGTTTTTCGAAGTCTTTCAGAGATTGAGAGCATCGTGTCGGTTTTCATCCCCAGATTCTGCGCTACCATGACCCGGAACTCGTGTTTACAAAACCATTCTTTCTGTCACGTTTAGCTGTATTTACTTTTTCGCACGTGAAGGTCAGAACCAAATTACCATAAGATCAGAGAGAGCACGTGTTTACAGTTTTACTTTTTGTTATGTCTGTTTTGCACTTACGATTTTATCGGCTTACTATGTCATATAAGCATGAAACGTAACCTGTTTTAACGAAAAAGATAAAGTCTGATTTCTTACATGGAAGAAAAGCACTTAAACGTGATAAAGATTGCGCGCTATTCCAGTCCTCCCCCAAAATAAACCACATGCTCATCGCGAGACTCATTTCCATACAATGAAAGTCGTCACGATTCTTATCCCCAGTTTTCACGGTCTTCGCTAGGAACGCGTGGCCTACAAATTAGGTCCCGCCGAAAAAAAAAAACGACTGCATTTTAAGAGTCTCGCTTTGCTCAAGGAAGCTCGACTAATAAGAAAGACAAAAAGGCCTCTGTTTGCATTTCTATAACTTCCCGGAATTTTTTAACGGTACAGTACCCCAAAACGTATTGGGTTATACCGGCTCTCTATACGTTTGTATCGCGTTTCAAATAGATTGTATATTTTTAAAAGATCGTGATTACTTGATCGTGAGTTGCCTTATTCTTTGAAAACAATAAGCGTACACGTCTTTTTGTTTGAAATTTTTTTCTGTGCTGCCTTGAGGAGAAAAAAAAAACAATTAAAAGGTCACAGATGCCAAATTAGGTTATTCATGTTTCGTCTTTCTAAGAACTAATCGATCACAACAACAGTCTGGTCATGGAGCCTCTGACAAGTAGCGACTATATTCTTGGTTCTATATAAGCCGTGAGATTTTTAGAACCCAAAAGCCAGTCAAGAAGAGGCAGTAAAGCAGCTGGAAGTATTCGATCTTTGACGATTTAGTTATAAGCTAATGGCAGCTACTCCTTTCTCGCTCGAAGGCTTCTTTGCGTACATCTCGGAGACGTTCGCGGCGGGAGTGATTCAGTCTTACCAAGGGCAAGGCCTTCTGGATGACGCTACATTACTGCAACGCCAAGATCCCTTGGAGGATTTCAAAAAGTTCAATCGAAATGATCAGATTTTTCAAGAGTACGATCCTCCCTCAGGGGACGACAGCAAAATGGGATGGAAAAGATCTCGCCCGCCAACATGGCGACTGTCGCTATGGAAGGCCATGAAGCAAGCGTTCTATATTCAAATTCTTGGTGGTGTTGCGTTGGGATCGCTCGCTATTGTAATACTGGTCATAGATTTCAATACCGTCTCTCTTTGCTATGATATGCAGTCCAAAAACTGGACGGCGATACCTAAAAGAATTCAGGCGGTCGTGGTGACAGCTGATACAACCGAAGCCTACTTGGTTCAACTGTGGCCGTTTCTCGTTGTATTGACAATGTTTGGTTGGCGTTTGATCAAGGAACTCAATCTACTGTTTCTCAATCTTTTGGGCGCTTTCTTCGACACTTGTTACAGGCTTTATTTACAAGTTTACGACATTTACAACAAGCCGTGGAGGTCATTCCCTCTCAACGGCCTCTTTGTTCTCTTATTGTTGATGAACAGTTTAATCATCGGCAGAGACATTGCTAAGAAAAGCGAAGTCGAAAGGAACAAAAGAATCAAGAAAGCGATCAAGGTATCGTCGATGCTGGTAGCTCAGTTTGCTTTTGGAATTCCAATCACTTTTGGTCTCGTGTACGTCCTTATACCCCTGTATGGCGAAGCATCTGAAACCTACAGAGCGATCATAGCCGGGGCATTGCCTCTAGTAACTGCTGCTCCAAAGGTCATTGTACGCTTGGCGGCGCAAAGAATTGATTTCCTTCATCCAGGAGATTCGCTAAAGTGGCTAAAAAAAAAACAGAAAAGTATTACGAGAGACGCATTTAGGACTGCGCCTTTCGCACACAAAAATAAATGCAGAAATGCAATCACAGACACCATCACTCGTGGACTCATATTTGTTGTATCGAGATCCTGCCATGCAATGTCATATCCCTTTGCCAGAAAACAAACATTAAATTGTTCCTTTTGGTGATTACATTCGACCTAATCCCTTAATTCAGAAATTAAATTGAAACTGTTTTCCCGTTTTGTACGAATTGTAGTGTGAACTTATAACCATACCTTTGACAGGTGCAGTGCAAAGATTTGAAGGGTAATTCGAGGCAGATATAGCAAGTTATGACGCGTAATAATTTACTTTGTAATGGTAACAGGACTGGGTGGAGTCCAATTCGGTCTGTAATCATACGAGTGATTAACAAAATTTGTTTAATCACGAGTATGATTACAGACTGAATTGGACGACACGAAGTTCTGTTACCAATTAATCATAACTTTGAACAAAATTTGTGATACAATAGGCTATTTTTTAAACCAAAACACAAGAAAATTGAAATTTTGTTTTGCTAGCAGTGAAAAAAAAAAGCCATTTAAGCGCGCGCGTGATGGCGCGTACTGTCCAATAGAGACTTTAAGACCCAACGACGCGGACGACAACGAGAACGTCAAAAAACAATAGGTTTAATTAGCAAAAAACAACTTTGCACGTGCATCACACTTTTTTGTACATTTCTTTCACGTTTTTGCACGGCTACGACGTGAAAATGCCTAATTTCGCGTTTTATGGAGGACGTAAACAAGCAACGACGAAATTTTATTTCTCTTTCTGAGCTTGAATATGGTTCCTTGAAATTCAGCTTCAGGAGGGTTCGCCTACAATTGACAAAGTAAGTGGGTAGGAATAATCACTATAAAGACTGAAAGAACGCAAATTCCCTTTTTAAGCGACGTTGGATCTTAAATTCTCTAATTACTTAGGCATGACGCGTACTGTCCTATTAAACTGTCCAATTAAGGCTGAAATCAGGGAAGCTGAAAGCCAATCAGATTTGACAATTTTGTTATAGTTATGATTTAACAATTAGTTCATGCGGCAGCGTGCGTATGTCGAGATATTGAGCACGCGGGAAGTTTGGAGAGCACGAAAGAGGCGTAAGAGTTGCACGAGGCGCAGCCGAGTGCAACTCTAGCCTTTTGAGTGCTCTCCAAACTTCCCAAGTGCTCAATATCTCGACATACGCACAGCTGCAGCATGAACTAATTGTTTTATAACATTATCAAAGCGATCAATGCAGCAGTTAACTGAAAATTTTATTATTGTAGGGCGCGCTCAAAGCAGTACGCGTTAATGATTACGTGACTATATTTTTTTTCCTCACAGTTAATCTTATGTTTTTATCCTGAAACTGAGAGAAAGTGTACTCTAAAATGATTGTAAAATCCATATTTAGGTGCCGGAAAACTTTTAATTTACCGAAAAATTGTTATTGAGAGAAAACAACTTTGCAAAGAATGATCTCACGCCATAGCCCGCACAGCTCGCCGAGATGACAACAACAACAACAACACTCACCTCTTTTCCTTACTATCGGTTAACAAATTCAAACCTTTCCTCTTAAATTTCCTTATAAAACACATGGTAAACGCTTCATTGTCTATTGCTGAGTTATGGATGCACTCGGGAGACTCAGGATTGCTAAGCTCCCAACAACTCGAGGAATTACGAATAGTTTATTGACGTCATCAGCGTGCTCAATAGGAATATGAAGCACGCTCGCGCTATTGAATTTGATTAGGCGAATTTTCTAGCTATGTTATAATATGCTTTTAATGGAGCTCAACTGAGTAGTGCTCTGATAAAGTGGATAAGTTTTCTCGGTTTGAGAGTGATATTATCGTGGATAAGGATTGAATTTGGACATGACTCTGGATCGCAACACATTTTCAAGCTCTCGCAGTGGAGAGTCAAGTCTTGTTTGGTTTTTATTTTAAGACGATTTTGAAAAACAAGAGGAAAGTATTAAAGATATAGACGACGAAAGATTTCTTTACGTCGATACTTTTAGCTTTAAGATACTACACAATTATTGGATGAGGTTTTTGTGATATCCGCAGTAATCAAGGTCGGGGTAAGTGTTATCAGCCGAGCCGAAGGCCGAGGCTGATAACAGTAACCGAGACCTTGATTATTTAGGATATCAGAAAAAACCGAATCTAATAATTGTTTTATTACTTCGGCGGAGCGCGAAGTAAAGGTTTCGCGACGCTCAGGAATGTATCAAAGTTACAATTTTTTGACAAGATTGGGCATGCAAAGTCTGTAGGTTTTCGGTTTTATTCGGCTATTTGACGAAGTGAGAGCCGAATTAATTCGAGATATCTCGAGATCACTTCGATTTCTTTGATTTATTCTTTAACTTTTTCGAGGAAGAAAGAATTATTATTTTGGCTTTCCCGGGGTTTGAACCGACTCACCTGTGTGATCGGTCAGATCAGAGGAGACTCTAAGTTGAGGGATTAGCCGATTGCGCTACTGCGACCCAAGGTAGTTTGGGATCTGAAAAATAGTTATGAAATGATGTACTAGTTTCGGGATAAGATTGGGCGTGCAAGTTCGTGACTTTTCGGCTTGTTTCAACTATTTC